CATCCCCTCTCTGCGTTGAAGGTTGCACTTTCAGCTTTCTTCAGACACGTTGCTTGTAAATGTCACAGACTCTCTTTACCGCAAACAACCCGAGAGTAAATACCAAAATATACAACAGAGGACGGTGTCACGAGTTGCTCTTTATCTTATCGTTCATAGAGTTTGACTATTCATGCGTCGTCAGAGATAAAATATCATTTTACAAGTTGTACCATACCCAACCCATCATGTATTATGGAGGATCGTGCCGTATCTCGCACCGCACAACAATGCTCAACACTGCGTCTCCGTCTCGGTGAGACACAAGCAACTCTCGCTGCAGTAATAAGTAGCCAATCAGTCACGCCGGAAGTTGTCGAAAACATTGCCTATTTGCGGAAACAGCTGTGCTGTGTCGTGGTCATTGATCATTCAGGCTGTGGCTCGGCTTGGACCACACTTCAGCCTTGACTTGACGTTGACAACGTGCTGTATTTTTAAACTGTGCGTGATGCTTACTGCAATTGCTGCTAGAGCGCTCCGCTGTCTTTGTGCTGTGCTAGCATTGACTATTGCTAGTGTGTAAGTGTACTACAGTCTATACTACAGAGTATTCAAATCCCTCCAAATCACCAATGGATTTAATCTAAGTCTAATACCGCAACCCCTAGGTCTAGCCTGAAGTAATGTGAAAAACTATCCCGGGCCAAAGCTTAGTGTCATAAAAAAAGTAGTGAAAACAAAATTTATTTCATCTCTTTAAAAGCCAAAAGCACATTTTCTACATAGATTGCAAGACAACTTAGGCATGAGGTCTTACTTTAGGATTATGTGTATTAGCGAATTTCCCCATAGGGAATGTATAGTTAGTACCGTAGGTGGCACGGTACGACCTAGACCCGGGACCTATATACTTAGTCATTTTTATGTCCCTAGAGGCCAAAAACACCATTCGTTCAAATTTGTATATATATATATATTCAATTCAATTCAATTTCATTCAATTCGATTATAAACGGCATAAACCAGTTTACAATATGACTTAAATTAATACAAGCAGTTTGCAATTGCCAGATATAAGATACATTTGACAGCAAGCAGGAGCAGTACAATAAAAAGAATTAAACCACTTGACTATTGCAGTATTTACAATCTGAAAATACAATCTGAGCAACATAGGAAGAGTTACATGAAGAGTGGCAAGAAAAACTAATACAGAGAGGAACAAAATTGCCTAAACTATTGGGCCAAACTATTCTTATGACTTATATACCGAGAACTATATAGATAACTTTTAAGTAATTTTTGTTCGATTTTGATGAAGTTTGGCTTGAAAGAGTAAGACCTGGAATGGGTTCGCGGGGACTGTGGTGTTATGGGTGGTTTTGTGAGGGAAAAATGGGTTTTCTCATTTTTGACCCTCAACACAAAAAATTTCCCGATTTCTCTTTACACTATTTTAACTAGGTGGCGTTCGCAGAGGCATCCACAAAATTGAGCGGAGTCATCAAGGGTTCATATTATATTGTTTTTGTCTTACTGCAGTAAAAACAGTATTTTTTCATGCATGCGCTGCGGGTCTAAAGTAGCATTTTTAATATTTAGGGAGTAAAAATTGTTTTTAGCCTCTATGGAGTAAAAATCAGCTGTTGTCAACTCAGTTGTAAATTTCGATTGTAAACGATTGCATGTATCGAAAATATGTATCGATTTGTGCTTCGTAATCATTTTAACATATTACAGTCTACAGTCTCTTCCCGTAGCATTTTAGCATCGCAGGTACATTAATCCATTCCCAAACTCAACACTGCTCACCTTTACTACTTCCTTCACCACACCCTACGTCGTGGACCTGTTTCCCTCTCTTCCCATAGCATTTTAGGATTGCAGATACATTAATTTAATTGCCAAAGACAGTTCCCACACTCTGCGCTGTTAGCCTTACTACTTCCTTCACCATTTACTACGTCATTGGCCTGTTTCCTTCCTTTCTCATAGCATTTAAGTATTACAAATTCATTTATCCATCTGCTCAAACGGTTCCCCCACTCTGCACTGCCAGCTTTTACTACTTCCTTCACCACTTACGTCGTGGACCTGTATTCATCGCTTTCCATAGCATTTTAGTATTTTAGATACGTTAATCTAATTGCAACAAACATCCCCACTGTCCGTACTGCTAGACTTTACTACTTCTTTCACAATTTCCTATGTCTTGGGCATGCTTCCATCCCTTCTCATAGCATTTCAGCATTGCAGATACATTAAAACTGCTACAAACGGTTTCCAGTTCCCACACTCCACACTGCTCACCTTACTACTTCTTTCACCTGTTTCTACGTCGCGGATCTGTTTCCCTCTCTTCCCATAGCATTTTAAGATTGCAGATACCTGAATCTAATCGTCATAAACAGATCCCACACTCCGAACAGCTCGCCTTTACTACTTCCTTCGCCACTTCCCACATCGCGGACCTGTTTCCCTCCCTTTCCGTAGCATTTTAGGAACGTTGTGACCTTAATCTAATCGTCATAAACAGTTTCCATACTCCAGACTGTTCACCTTTACTACTTCCTTAACCTCTTCATACGTCACGAACCTCAAGCTAGTGTCGTCATTTGATTATAGTACCTGGGGACCGAGCTTTGCTCGGGGAAAATCATTAATTCATTCTGAAAGCACCGTAGTATTGGAGATGCATAAATCCACACATCTACATCCTACACAATTTCCTACGTCATGGATCTGTTTCCCTCCATTCCATTGCATTTAAAGATTGCAGATACCTTAATCTAATTGTCATAAACAGTTCCCACACTCCAGACTACTCGCCTTGACTACTTCCTTCACCACTTCCTACGTCGCGGACCTGTTTTCCTCCCTTCCCATAGCATTTTAGGATTGCAAATACCTTAATCTAATCGTCATAAACAGTTCCCACACTCCGGACAGCTCACCTTGACTACTTCCTTCATCACTTCCTACGTTGCGGACCTGTTTTCCTCCCTTCCCGTAGCATTTTAGGTTTGCTGATACCATAATCTAATTGTCATAAACATTTCCAACACTCCGGACAACTCGCCTAGACTACTTCCTTCACCACTTCCTACGTCGCGGACCTATTTTCCTCCCTTTCCATAGCATTTTAGAATTGCAAATACCTTAATCTAATCGTCATAAACAGTCCCCACACTCCGGACAGCTCACCTTGACTACTTCCTTCATCACTTCCTACGTCGCGGACCTGTTTTCCTCCCTTCCCGTAGCATTTTAGGTTTGCTGATACCTTAATCTAATTTTCATAAACATTTCCAACACTCCGGACAACTCGCCTAGACTACTTCCTTCACCACTTCCTACGTCGCGGACCTATTTTCCTCCCTTTCCATAGCATTTTAGGATTGCAAATACCTTAATCTAATCATCATAAACAGTTCCCACGCTCCAGACAGCTCGCCTTGACTACTTCCTTCACCACTTCTTACGTCACGGACCTGTTTCCCTCCCTTCCCATAGCATTTTAGGATTGCCCATACCCTTATCTAATCGCCATAAACAGTTCCCTCACTCCTGACAGCTCGCCTTGACTACTTCCTTCACCACTTCCTACGTCGCGGACCTGTTTCCCTCCCTTCCTATTGTACTTAAAGATTGCAGATACCTTATTCTAATCGTCATAAACAGTTCCCGCACTCCGGACTACTCGCCTTGACTACTTCCTTCACCACTTCCTACGTCGCGGACCTGTTTTCCTCCCTTCCCATAGCATTTTAGGATTGCAGATACCCTAATCTTATCGTCATAAACAGTCCCCACACTCCGGACTGCTCGCATTTACTACTTCCTTCATCACTTCCTACGTCACGGACCTGTTTCCCTCTATTCCCATAGCATTTTATGATTGCCTATACTACTTCCTTCACTACTTCCTACGTCACGGACCTGTTTCCTTCCCTTCCCATAGCATTTTAGGATTGCAGATACCTTAATGTATTCGTCATAAACAGATCCTAGACTTCGCACTGCTACCCTTGACTACAATGTATCGAGTAATCTTAAGTATAATCTTCGCTCAATATTAACAAGTGATGTTTTTCCTTTTGTACTGTATTTGTAATTTCCTAGTATACTGTGGGTAGTTGGCTTATTATGAGCACACGCTAAAACTTCAAATCTTTTGTTTACTTTTTACTTGTTATTTAATTCAGCCAACATGGTTACCTAGCAACCCATAAGACTAATGTTAAAAAAATGTGATTTTCAGTTTCATTTTTCTACGGATTCCTGAGAGACTTTTTTAACGCTATATAGATGTTGGCACTCACCGATATGGTCTTTATCACCATGCAAAATTTGAAAACGATTGATTCAGCCGTCTAGGAGGAGTTTGCGTATTACGAAATGCATAAAAGTCGACGTATAAGAGCTTCGCTCGCTTCGCTCGCTCCGCTCAAAAAACCTCAAAAAATAAATAATTTAGCATATTGAAAACTTTTTACAGTTATTTTTTCAGAGAAAATTCAATAAATAATTGTAAATTTAACATTCCCACGTTATTCTTATGGAGAATAAGTAATCTCTATTGTAGTTTGCTTGTATATGGATATATCTTCATCAAACTTAGAAAATTTATTGATTTTATACCAAGCTATTTATAGTTTACTAAAAAACATGCGTTATCACCCTCCCTGTAGCAGCAAAACTAGGTACTTGTTAAACCTAATTTATTTAAATAGCTTTAATTTAAAATCCAATCAGTTAAATTAAATTCACCGAGACTATCTCTTAGGCTGGCGCCTAAGTCTACTTGACTCCCAAACCAACAATATTTAGGCGCGAGATTATCCCTGCACAAGTTAGGCGCGCGCCTTACTGATCCAGAGCTCACAAACCCGTTTTCAAGGCGGCAGCCTAAAATACCGGAAATATCCGGTTTTAGTCGCGGACTAGCGCTAATACCGAGCTCCCAAACCGCCCCTAATGTATTAGGGCTGTAATACCAAGTCTTTTGTATGTTGCAGAGTGTAACAGAAGAGGGAAGACTCTGTAGAACAAAATGGATGAGTCCAAAATAGGGATGAGTCACCAGACCCTAGTGTCCAACGCAGGTCAAGCCGCCAAATTTCCTCAATATCTCGCAGCAATCATTGGTATGTTAATGGCTCAATTTTGTTTGGATTGTTTATAGGAGTTTATCGAGAAGACAATGTACCTCTCCTGATAGTATTAGTTCTACAGGGAATTGAATGTACCACCCACAAGACCTTTAGCTCTCTGGTTCTAAGGTTGTCTAGAGCTCTCCTTAAGACCCTAGTTCCTTTTGAGTTCTTTTTGATTCCTTAGTGCAATTGTTTATTTAACATAGGACAGCAGATAGAAAAGTTGTAGTTTTTTAATATTATTGAAAAGAAAACCGATCAATATTTCCCACTCAAAGTCATACAATTTTGAAATCCCAGAATTTTGAATCCCAAGCGTAAATCTTTAAGTCCAGACATCAAAATGTCAACAGCCCCTTACACCATGTGCTATCTTTGTGTGAAATTGAAGTTTAGGCTGCTGCGGTTTTGTAGTAAAAATACAGATATTCATGTAAATACTAAACAATACAATGTTACTTAGTGACTATCGGTGGCTTCATCTCTGGCACTTGTCTTGGCTGGACCTCTCCCACCAGCAACCCACTGGTTGAAGAAAGCCAGTACAACTTCACCATCTCAAAGGATGACTTCTCATGGATCGGGTCCCTGATGCCAGTAGGAGCACTGGTTGCATGTCCGCTGGTGGGCTGGCTAGTGGACCGCATCGGACGCAAGAACACCATCCTCGTCCTGGTGTTCCCTGCGGTGGTAGGCTGGGCACTCATGATCTGGGCGGAGTCGGTGAGTAGCGGTTGTATTGGTATAAACTGTGTGGATGAGAATAAATGGTAGCTTTACATAAATCATAACATTCTGCTCATTGTTTTTAAACCTCCTGGTTAACAAATCTGGTTGTAGAAGACTGTATGGTCAATTATCTTAATTAGTTTAAAAGTTACATACAGAGTATCCCTATATTCTACTATTGAGGTTTTATGGCGAAGACAATAATGTTCCGTTCCTAGTTGGCTTTGCAGGGAAGTAATGCACTGCCACCTACAAGATCTACAGGGAGGTCCAAAAATAACTTACATAAGAGAAACGTTTATTTACTAAATTTTAACTACATGGTAACATTTACGTACAGATAGAAAAACTCAAATGCTTTTGGTGATATTCAATTAATCTCAATATGGCCACCGTTTAAGGACCTGCCGGCATTAAATAAAAATTTAGCACATTACACATCTTTGCTGCAGTTCTCGAGGTTGGAATTAACATTGCATGGGTAATTTTTTTATTGCCAGCTGTTATTCTCAGTTCTTAAATTAAATTGTTCAATCAGCTGTTTTTAAAATAGTGGTAAAAGTTGTTCTTTGGTAATTTATTGTTGTTTATATCGATCCATAACAATTCATCAGAGCTATGCATATGGCTATGTGGTTTACAGAATTTAGATCAATATAGTCTCAGTTCTAAGACATTTTAGATTTGAGTCTGTTGTTAATTACTCTCCTTTGCATAGCTAAATTAAGAACGGGTAAAGAAGTTTAAGGAAACAGACAGTGTTTTGAAGGGCAAGTCGTAAGGGAGGCCATGAACATCATAAGAGGACGTAGAGCGAATATGGCAGTCTGCTCTTTGAAGTCCAAAGAAGTCTGTAAGTAAACTGGCTTAGGGCTAGGACTTCCAAAAACGACAGTCCACAGGGTGTTACGTATGAGATTGTCTTTGCGTACAAAATTAGCTCTTACATGACATTAAACCATCAGATAAACCTAAAAGGGTAGAGTTTTGTAATGTTATGATAACAAACAATGAGGATGATGATTTCTGAAATAGTATATTTCGTACCTAGGGCCGAAAATGAGGTTTTGCCGGCTAGAGATAGTTTTTAAGTTCGAGACGAAGTCAAGAACTTAAATTGATCGAGAGCTGCAAAACCATTTCGGTCCATGGTACGAATGCTATTTTTCACCACACTATACCCTATTAACACTATTCACCACAATAATAATGTACACTGATAGTCAACACAACTACAACTTTAAGGTTATAGGAAGAAATAATTTGAGGAATCAGCAAAAATAATAATAAATAGTTGCTAGGCAGCGCTGACAATAAAACAATTCTATTGTAATGCTATGGATACTGATTGTGTATTTAATATGCATTCATATTTTAAAGAAAGTAAGCGGGCAGCTGATTTTGCGGCCCTAGGGATGTAAAAACCTGCTCGGTCCCCATCAAATGACGATGACAGCTGGCATGGCCAGCAAAACGTAACTTTCAGCCACCAATTAATGTTTGAAAAACAGGTTAAAATATCATAGTGTGGTGAAAAAGTTATTTTCAGATGAAGAAACCTTTCACATTAATGGTCATGTCAATCGTCATAACTGTAGGATTTTGGGGTCAGAACCTCCGTATAAGTTTGTTGAGCATGAACGCAACCATCCAAAAGCGATTGGTGTGTGTCAATGCACGATAGATGTTTTTGGACCATTTTTCTTTCCAGAAAATTCTGTACCGGTACGAGATATCTTGATATGCTGGAACTTTTTACATTCCCCCAAATAGACGAAATTGAAACTGAGGTAGGTCCAATCTACTTCCAGCAGGATGGTGCTCCACCACATTTCCACAACGGGATGTTACGGGATGTTCTGGATGACAGGTTTCAAGATTGATGGATTGGAAAGGGAGGACCGATACCATGGCCACCAAGGAGTCCAAACCTAGCTCCATTGAATTTTTTTTTGTCCTATATAAAGAACATTGTATATTCTCAGAAGATTAGAAACCTGAACCACCTGCGAGAGCGAATAAGAGATCCTATATTGCACATGTTACTCCAGAAATGCTGAGAAATGTTTGAGGGGGAGGTTGACTTTTGATTTGATGCTGGCAGAGCCTTGAATGGCACCATATTGAGATTTATTGATGAATGTCACCAAAAACTTTATAAGTTATTCTACCTATATGTAAATGTTACTATGTAGTTAAAATTTTGTCAATAAAAATTTATCTTAAAATGTGTCAGTTCTTTTTTTAGTTTATTTATCATTTAGCATATTTTATTTAGAATATGACCATTCAAGACATGCATCCTATCCTTATGCCCCAACAGTAGTGTAAGTAAGAGTCTATGGGAACACATGGTTGAGTTGAACTGACAGTAGAAAGCAACATAGAAAGTTGGGCTCTCTGTCGCACATTCTCACTGCAACCCGCACTGCAACCCTACCAGTTACACTTCCTAAATATATAGAGCGGTTCTGCAATCATCATTCACTCATATTCAGCTTTGTATACTATAATAACGAGGAGAGAATGTTACTAGCCAAAAGCAATCATCCAAATTGATACTACATTTTTTACAGCAGATTGTATCACTCAAACTTTAACCTAAACAGTAGTTTGTTTTTGTGTATTAAACAGTTGTTGTTGTACAGGTGACCATGTTCTGCATAGGAAGATTCATCTCTGGCATCGCAGGAGGTGGCTACACGATTGTCGTTCCTCTCTACACCAATGAATATGCTGAAACCAGCATCCGAGGCACTCTAGGCACATACTTCCAGCTGCAACTCAACCTTGGAATCTTGTTTACTTATGTCATTGGAACTATTGTAAGTAGTTTAGTTGCTGATTATCAATATTTTACAAATAACTTTTAACCTTATAGAAGTAACCACAGCTTCAAATTACATAAAATAAAACTTTATGTAACTTATTAAGTTCAATGAAGCGATGTTCTAACAGTCTTGCATTTGAATTATTTACTACATACATGTAAATGTTTGGTTAAAAGTAGCAAGTATAATAATAAGAATTATATTTATATAGTATACGTTTGTTAACTCGCCTTAAACACAAAATTTAAAAAAATTGTCTTTATCCTTAACTAAACGTTTTCCCCTTTTAGTCTAATGTAATACAATAAAAAATAAAAAAAAACAATTCCACATTTTTTGGTCAATGCATAAGAGTAAAAACAAAATGTAAACAAGGATGAATGAATTACAACCAAACTTGTTCACGGCAAAAATGGAAGAGGGAGTCTTGACAATCGTCAATGGAATGAGAATTAAGCAGCCCTTGGTTGTTGTAATTTGTACCACTATAGTGATGGATGAGTTTGTAACTAAGAATTACCTGTGATGTTGAGATTTACCTGTGAGTTCGTAACTGAGAAATTATATGTGTTGTTTATATTTTTGGTATACATTACATATTTCTCATGAACAACTATCTTCTTTAAAATGGTAATTTCCATGAGAAAAATAATAATGTTTTGACTCTTGGAGGATCAGAATTACAGTGATAACATTGTTGCAGACGACAGTATTCTGGTTGACAACAGCTTGTACCATTGTTCCGATTGTCTATGGAGGTATGGTTATGTTTCTGCCAGAGTCTCCCATCTACTACCTCAAAAACAAAAAAGTAGAAGAGGCACGCCAGGCCCTGCAGTGGTTCCGAGGAGGTAGCTACGACGTTGAGCCTGAGCTCTCTGGCATGCAGAAGAACATTGAGATTGTGAGTATGCATATACTGGTTATGAATCACAATATGCAGGTAATACCCTGTTGAAGCAATATAAAAATATATAAAAATATAATACACTAACTCAATTATTATTCTATGTTTAACTAAAGACTGTTTCATATGTTTATATAAGTTGTTGTTATGTTGGCATAGCAACTTCCTAGTTGGAGAAAACAATTTATGTGCTTATGAGTTGTACAAGTTTGTAAGTGTTCTGTTTTAAAGTTATAAAATAAAGTATTGTTTATTTGAAGAGTCAAGTATTATAATTTAAATAAGGTCCACAGATTTAACCTCAACAGGTTATGGGCCCAGACACTGATTGGTAAGCAATATTTTAATTTAAATTGATGAAAATGTCAGGTCATGTACTGTAGGACTAACAGCCTACTAAGTATATTGAAATGAAGGTTTGTGGTTGTGAAATATAGAGAAATGCATGTTGCATGTTTGATATCTTGCTAAACCAACGTTTATGCTTGATTAAATGTTAGTAATGGAGGCTACTCCTAATTGTGTTAAATTGTCCAACGACAATTGGAACATTTGGAAGTTTCAAACCACAGTAACCTTGAAAGCAAAAGGCTTGTACAATGTAGTAGTAAATGATGAGAAAATGCCTGAAGAAGGTGATGATAAGTATGATAAACTCCTTGCTGAGTATAATAGTAAAGATTGTAGAGCCCAAGACATAATAGTTTCTAGACTTGGTGAAAATGCCATATCCCATGTGTTAATGTGTAAAAACTCTTCTGAAATCTGGTCTAAACTTTTAACAGTATATGAAAGGAAAAGTGAGTTGAGTCTGCACCTTCTTCAACAGAAGTTTTTTAGTTTAAAATTTAATAGTAATGAAACTGTATCTCAGTACTTATCGAGAGTTGAAGAGATTGTCAATCAGATTAAACAGTTAGGTGAAGTTATTTCAGAAAATATGGTAATAACGAAAGTAATTATGTCCCTTCCTACGAATTATGCACATTTTGTAAGCGCTTGGGAATCTGTCCCAACTGAGAGTAAAACTTTAAGTAGGTAACTTAACTGCTAGGCTACTTGTAGAGGAAGAACGAATTGAATCCAAAACTAGTGACTTGGATAATGAAGCTAGTTCTGCATTTGCTGCAGGTAGTTTGAAGAGTGGGCGATTTTTAAATAAAAGTAGGTCTACACCTAAATGTTTTGAATGTGGTAAGATAGGTCATGTTAAATCTCAGTGTTTTAAATTGAAGTCTGCAGGAAGAGATATGTCAGAAATAAAATGTCATTTTTGTAACAAGACTGGACATATTAAGAAAAACTGCTATAGGTTCAAGGCTGAGCAAAATCAAAGGAGCAAAAGTGGTAAAAGTGATTCATCTAGAAAATCTGAAGCTTTTACAGTATTAGGCTTAAGTTCAACAGATTTTACTGATTTAGATTACAACACTTTTGAAGATTGGTTTCTTGATACAGGAGCATCAGAACATCTATGTTGTAATAAGGGATTGTTTGAAACTTTTAAATTACTCAAAGAAGACCGTTTTGTAATTTTTGGTGATGGAAAAATGTCCAAAGCTGAAGGTACCTATTGGTGATATTAAGTTGAAGTCAGTAATAAGTAATGAAGATAAAATTTCTGTAACTCTAAAAGATGTGTTATATGTACCGGAAATGAAAGTTAATCTCTTCTCTGTGAGCTCAACACTAGATAAGGGATATTTTATGAGCACAAATAAAATTGAAGCTAAAATCATGAACAAAGACAATGAAGTTTCTGCTGTGGCTAAACGTTATGGAAAACTGTATAAGATGCAATTTTCATTTGACAATAAGTCTGTACCTGCTTATGTACAATTAAGTGAAGATAACAGTCTAAAGTTATGGCATGAAAAAATGGCTCATCAAAATTGTCGTCAAGTAAAAGAAATACTGGAGGCAAGTAACGTTAAGGTTATAAATAAACCTAATGAAGAATTCTTTTGTGAACCGTGTGTCCTTGCTAAACAGAAACGCTCAAGTTTTAAGACTAGTCCAAACAAGTCAACAGAAATTGGACAGATAATTCATGCAGATCTTTGCGGACCAATGGAAGAAAATTCTATTGGTGGTTCCAAGTATTTTTTGTTGCTAAAAGATGATTTTTCACACTATCGATTTGTTTACTTTCTAAAGACAAAAGATGAGGTATTTGGCAAATTAAAAGAGTTAATTTGTCATGTTGAAAATCAAATAGGAAAAACATTCAAAGTGCTACGAACGGATTGTGGAACTGAGTTTGTAAATAGAGAAGTTGAAGATATGTTGTCAAGTTTAGGTATCAAGCATGAGAAGTCAGCTCCCTATTGTCCTGAACAAAATGGTTCTATTGAAAGAGAAATGCAAACCATAGTTAATTCTGCTAGGGCTATGATGTCAGCAAAAGGACTAAATAAGAAGTTTTGGGCAGAGGCAGTCAACACAGCTGTATACGTCCTAAACCGAGTTGGGAAGAGTAGTGTAAAGGACAGTACACCATATCAGTTGTGGATGGGCAGAGACTTTGACATCAAATCACTGAAGGTTTTTGGATGTGATGCATATATTCATGTGCCAAAACAAAAACGTAAGAAATGGGATCAAAAATCTAAGAAAGGTTTGTTTGTTGGATACTGTGAAACTACTAAAGGCTACCGTATATACATTCCTGAAGAAAACAAGGTTGAAATCAGCTGCAATGTTATATTCCATGAGCCTGTTGAAAATACAATGAAGACTAAAACTGACGCTGTATCGTCCCTGAAAGAAACAGAAGATACAGATTATCGACTTGATGTATTACATAATGATGAAGTAGACCAAAGTGAAAATGAATGTGAAGAAGACCTAGGTCCTGTAGAAGACAATCAAGAGCTTGAAGAAAATGTAAATATAGAAGAAAATACAACTAATATGAAACTAAGAAACCGAAACCAACTAAGAAGACCTGTAAAATTAGATAACTATGAAGTTAATTTTATGACTTCCGTAGAAGGAGATGAACCTGATTCATATGAAAGTGCAATGAATCGTGAAGATGCAGATAAATGGAAAGAAGCAATTAAGCAAGAGATTAATAATCTAAAAGAGCACAATACGTGGACTGAAGTTGAAGATCCTGGAAATATTTCAACCATAGATGCTAAATGGGTGTTTAAGTTAAAGAAAAATGATGATGGTCAACCAGTACAATATAAAGCAAGACTTGTTGCTCATGGATTTCAACAACAAGGATCTTTCGATACAACTGAAACCTATGCTTCAGTCGCTAAGATGACAACATTGCGAGTATTAATGGCTGTAGCTAATCAACAGAGTTTACCAGTACACCAAATGGATGTGACAGGTGCATTTTTACACGGTGACATGACAGAAGATGTATATTTATCTGTACCTCCTGGAATTGAACATATTGAAAGTAAAACTACTGTTTTAAAACTAAACAAGACAATCTACGGTTTGAAGAAATCTCCCAAAAATTGGAATGAAAAGTTCACTGAAATAATGACAAAAGAAGGTTTCTCAAGGTCTAATAGTGACTATTGTCTGTACACAAGACTGACTGATGAAAATAAACTGTATGTATTACTGTATGTGGATGATCTAATAATAGTGGGATCCTGTGAAAATGAAATTTTGAAATTCAAATCAAAACTGAGTCATTATTTCAAAATGAAGGATATGGGTCAAGTTTCAACTTACCTGGGAATAAAGATTGATCATGATTTGACAACCGGAGTAACAACGTTGAATCAAACAGCTTATTTAAAACAAGTGCTACAAAAATTTGGTATGCAGGATTGCAAACCAGTCTCTACTCCAATGGATCCTAATCTTAAAATAAATTTGAACAATTCAGTGTGTGACAAAGAACTAGAACACAAGTGCCGTAAACTAATAGGTTGTTTGATGTTTGCAATGATTGGGACAAGACCTGATCTTTGCTATCCGATTTCGTTTCTAAGTCGCTTCCAAAGTAATGCAAGCGAAGAATTGTGGACTGCTTTAAAACGAGTTTTACGATATGTCAAAGGTACAATTGACAAGAGTTTAACCTTCTATAAGAATAAAAGTGGAAACATTATATTGGAAGGTTTTGCGGATGCTGATTGGGCAGGCGATTTAACTGATCGTAAATCTACATCTGGCTATTTGTTTCTACTATCTGACTGTGTTGTATCCTGGACATCAAAGAAGCAAGTTTCAGTGGCGTTATCCTCAACCGAAGCAGAATATATTGCACTTAGTTTGGCAATAACAGAATCCCAATGTCTCAAACATCTGCTAGAAGATCTAAATGTATCAACCAGTGAAGCTGTGACCATCCATGAAGATAATCAATCAGCAATAGCTGTTGCAGGAAGTCTAGAAAACAAAAGACTTAAACACATTGATGTCAAATATCATTTTTTAAGGGAAGTTGTCAAAAAGGGAAGTGTTGTTTTAAAGTACATTAATTCTGAAAACCAATTGGCGGATATATTAACAAAAGCTCTGTGTAAACCAAAGTTCCAGACATTCAGAAATAAGATGAGTGTTGTTTAAAACTGTTTGTAAGAAGACAATATATTTTTATATTGAGGGAGGGTGTTGAAGCAATATAAAAATATATAAAAATATAATACACTAACTCAATTATTATTCTATGTTTAACTAAAGACTGTTTCATATGTTTATAAAAGTTGTTGTTATGTTGGCATAGCAACTTCCTAGTTGGAGAAAACAATTTATGTGCTTATGAGTTGTACAAGTTTGTAAGTGTTCTGTTTTAAAGTTATAAAATAAAGTATTGTTTATTTGAAGAGTCAAGTATTATAATTTAAATAAGGTCCACAGATTTAACCTCAATATACCCCCACCGCAGCAAACCTGCAGACCAAGCGAATTTCAACTTGTCTGATTACATTTTTACTCAAATATTTCCATAAATAAGACATATTTATTCCCAATTTAAATAACATTAGATTTAACAAGTGCTTAGGTTTGTTGCTACGGGTAAGGTAAAAAGTGTTTTTTGACCAAGTGTCAATAGTATAGGATGAAATAAATAAATTTGCCAAATGTTATCAACATATACGTTATCCATAAACAAGTAAACTACAACATCTTTTATTTTCTCCTTAAGAATAACATGGAAATTTAAAATTTACACTTTTTTGAATTTTTTTCATAACCATTAGACATAAAACAATGCTTCAATATACTAAATTACTTCTTTTTTTAAGCTCTACAAAGTTGTTGGAAAAGAAATTCTGAAATTTTATGTTTTAAGGGTCAAAAATGGGAAAAATCAATTTTTACCAAAAACCCCCCCATAAACCCCCGTTCCAATGGTCCAATCATACTGGTTTGCAAACTCGTTCGAATAAATGTAGGTTTACACGTTTATACTAACTTTCATCCAAATCAGATCATTTTTGTTTGAGTTGTTGTGCTAACGGACACACACACACACACACACACACACATATATATATATGAATTTGTACCGATGGTGTTTTGGCCTCTGAGGACCTCAAAACAAAAAGTAAATCGGTCCCGGGTACAGGTCTTATCATGAGACCTACGGTAATAGCTTATTCCCTATATGGGAAATTCGCTAAAAACAGCAATAGAGAATAACACACTCACACATTATGTGCTGCCAGAACTAAGAACTAAGGGGAGGACAAAGAATACACGTTTCTATTTACTATTGATCCCAGAACGCCGAATGTAGATCCACACTACCCTTGCTAGACACCAAAAACAATTGGCGGACTAAAACATTAAATGATGTCTTCAGATGGAGAGTGAGAGGGTTCCAATACTGGAGGCATTCTCCACAACACCAGCCAAGCGAGGACTCGTCATTGGTCTGGGAGTTATGGCCTTCCAACAGCTGAGCGGAGTCAACAGTGTCATCTTCTATGTCACGTCAATCTTTAAAGTGAGTATAACACTGCTCATTGCCAGCTCAATGTTCAACTATTCTAAATTCTCTTTTTACATCTGTGAATATTATTAGCAAAGTTTATTGTTTAGAGTCTTGATAATCTGATCTTTGGTTATCTATCCTTCCGTGTTATCTGGCCCTCCTTTTGGATGATCGAGTGCTGGGAAATCGTGCAATACAGTACCATTAATTGTGCAATATTGCACCATTTGGTATAACTGTATACTCTGTAGTGGGTAAGTTCATACAACCCCTTGTTTCACAGTCTGACTGTACACAGAACGTATACCTCAGGCTGTTTTAGTTGCGGCCTTGATGGCAACCTGTGCCTTGAAGAAGGTACAGAGGAAACACACTCATGGGTCAACCGTGCACTTTCAGCTCTGGTATGTTGGGGGGGAAATGTACCTGGTGACCAGCAAGGAAGAGCTGGAACGGTGAGCACTGTGTGCAAATTCCTGTAACACAGGGCTCAGGGTCATCCTCCACTGTGAGTGTTGTAGTACATGTGGGGGACAGTGCAGGACTTTGCCCTAGAAACAAGTACTAATGCCAAACACCACTTAAGTGCCCCCATATGCAGTGTATTCTCGGTTCCTTACTTCTCTGTGAGACCTGTGGCCATTGACTATTGGATACTGAAGTAGACATCCCATCTATATGGACCAGCTGTCGCCAAGCTTTTATTAAAAAAGAATGCAGTTGTGTGAGCCAGTCACATTATGCGCTATAGTGTCTATGTCTAAAATTCTATTTTCTACCTTATTTTTTGTTGCTGACAAAATTGATGGGTTATAACAGTTGCTATAGCTCATAATAAGTTGTTCCATAAGTTTGACTTGGTAAAAACATTGTGTATTAGAGATAAATTGGTCATTTAGATCAGCACAATCTGTCAGTGGCTCACATCAACTACGACAAATTTAATTTTAAAAACTGGTGACAACTTTAACATGGGGATGAAATGTCTAGTTGTATTAATAGTCAAAGCCTGTGACTTAGTGGAAGGGTACTGCTTTACTTCAAATATTACAGATGTTTTTGTTTGGTAGACGATGTCCTTTATTTACTCTAAAAGATTTAATTACGAAGGGTGATGTCGGGAAAACGTGAAATAAAGTATTTTGCCCAACTCATTGTAAACTGCATTGTATACTAGTTAAATTTTCAATTTAGGACACAATATCTATTCACAAGTACAAACTCGGCATATTAGTGAAAATACACTTTAGAATATGGCCGATACAACCAACACAGGTACAATACATCCTTTGTTGAAAAATAACAGTGTATGGCTAATGTATGAAACTGTACTAATCTTTTGTGGACACTGTGTGTTGCTAACAGGATGCTGGCAGCACGATGGACCCCAACATACAGACCATCATTGTGGGTGTTGTGGCCGTCGTGTTCACCTACATATCTACCCTGGTGGTGGATAGGATGGGTCGAAGACCACTACTACTGCTCTCTGACTTTGTCATGGCCATTTGTACTTTCTTCCTCGGTGTTTACTTCTACCTCAAGAACAAGACGGAGTTTGACACTGCCTCCATCAGCTGGCTTCCCATACTGTCTGTGTGTGCCTTCATGATTGTCTTTTCCCTCGGGTTTGGTCCCATCCCCTGGATGTTCATCAGTGAGGTGCTCCCACGCCAGATCTCTGGTTATGCGTCTTCTGTCTGCTGCTGTTTCAACTGGATCTGTGTGTTCTTAGTTACCAGATTCTTCGGAGACGTCAGTGCGGCCATCGGAGCTTATGGATCGTTCTGGCTGTTCACGGTCATATCGGGTATTGGAACAGCATTTGTATATTTTATTGTGCCAGAAACCAAAGGGAAAACTTTGGAAGAAGTACAGATTTTGCTCGGAGGTTCAACATAAACTAAAAATCAGTTATCTATTTGTATGATCAAACACATTCCTATTTCAGTAAATAGTTTTCTATTTTCACTCGGGTTTTATCGCTTGAATACTAGCAAAAGGTGTATAACAAATTAAGTTTGCACCTATGAAGGATTAGTAGGAGTTTCAAACTTATAAATGGTGTAAGTGAATGATTTGATTATTTTTGTTTACTTTATGATTTTGTTTCTAAAGAAATTTCTAGAGTATTTCCCTAGTCTTCATTATAACATTAAATATTGCACGAATATTCATATTCCAGTCATGAATTGAGAATAATCGTGTCTAGGCTGTGATTTAATAAACATTACTCACAATCATTCATAAATAACTGGCAAGCATTTACTTTTCTGTCGCATCATTGTACATATCCTATGTCATGTTGCATGAAGGTGTTTACTTGTAATTTCATCTTTCCTTACAAGTGGTAAACAAATGTTTTTAATTCCTAACTTTTAACTATTTGATTTAACAATCTCTCTAGGTGCAATACCAATTCTTTATAATTTTAAATAGGTAATTTATTAAACTGTAAATAGAGCATAGATGTTACAATTAATTGTAATTTAGCATTAAGTGTTGATATTTACTAAGATACGGTAGTTTAAGATTTGTTAAGGTGTTTAAATTGTAAGACAAAACCAGTTTAAAGTAAGTTTTGGAATATTAAAGTCGTTTTTAACAAGGTAAAAATGTTGAAAGTTTTCAATAGACATTTTAAAAAGTAGATAGGCCTACTGCACTGCATTTGTCTGGCATTTAAATACTTATATGCTTGTCTAGTTAAGGATCAAGCCATTATGCTCCATCGTGACAATAATAATTGATAAATTCATTTCTTAAACTATATAGTTTATAAACAAATACTAGATCAGATTTAAAATGGATTTACAGTTTTTTTTAAATTTTTTTAAATTAAGAGTAACAATTATAATTGTTACAAAAACCTCTAAAAAGATAAGCCAAATAGGAACGTACCATGTTCAACCACAATGTTCAAACAGGAATCCAAATTTCTATAAACAATAAATAATTAGTACCTATCATATTTCCAAAATTAAACTGGTTTTAAATAGTAGTTGTGTCAAAAAGCTTTAGTACAACTTTGTGATCATTGATATTTTGTATTATAATCATTGTTATATTAAACTTGTTTTTAAACTTTATTTATGTTTTTAACTCTTATTACCTGAAATTTGTTACGTCATATGCCTACAAGTCATGTTGTGTGTGTGCTAATTATACTTTTTTTTGTTATCTATGGTGACAAAAGCATGTGCCCATCCCCCAGGGTCAGAGGTGCAAAACCCCACCCCATTTCATACTGCCCCTTTATACAGCAATACATTGTCGGTCCCAAGCTCTCACAAAGACATCATCATCCTGTGATACGGACAATATCTTAACATTCCCCAAAAACGCAAAGATTTTGACATCCCTCCGAGGCCACAGAACATCATCGCCTCCTGTGACCTAGGAAATCCTTACGTATCACTGCGGTTGCAAATATACATCTTCATCACCCCCTGTGATCTTCGCAATCTTTAACTTTTTCCACGGCTATGAATACATCACCATCGCCTCCTATGATTGTGACAATATCTTGACATCCCTACACGGTCGTGAAGAAATCATCACCATCTCTTGGGATCACGGCATTATCTTGATATCCCTCCGTGGTTGTAGAGACATCACCATCATCTCTTGTGTTCGTGGCAGTAGCTTGACATTCTTCTGCGGTAGCAAAGATATCATCACCGCCTCCAGTAGTCGTGACAATTTCTTGACGTTTTCCCGCTGTCACAAAGACATATAGTTGTTGTGAAAAAAGATTTAAATAATAATAGCCAAATTAAGTGTAAATATGGCATAGGAATTCAACAAAAAATTATTTTAGGGGTACTCATAAAAAAACATAATTAATTAATAAAGTCAACATGAAAATAAAATCCTTTTAGAAATCCCCTCCTACGACGCCCCCTCCAAAATCCCAGTGGCGCCTCTCTGGGCACCCAGTAGACAACAGTAAATGTGTGAAGGTGAGGGTGTGAGGGTGGGAAGGTTCCCTCTCTGCTTCTTCTAAGAATCCTATTTATTAATCCTGAGCTCTATTCAGTTCTTAGTCCGCAGTGAGCGTTCAAAAAATGTATTACTTCACCACTGGTGTGAAACTTGGGACGAATCCAGCATCTGATAATATAAATATTTGTCAACTTCACTAACCTGGCATTTGTCTATGAAGGTATTTTACACTGACTAAGCCATCTGGGCGTCTGGAAGTGTTTGTGGACCATCAGTTGATGTTGGGGTAAAATATAAATGAAAATGTCATCAAAATCTCGGAATATTAGAAGAGATAGAGAACATAACAAGCCTTTATCAGCAGCAATAATACATCTGTTTATATCGTGAATGCATACAAAAAAGATTAACCCAACGTGGTCAAAAAAGGTCTGAGGTACTTTATCTGATATATATGTTTTTGAGTCGTGAACGGTGTGGGATTGGGGGGAGAGAGTGGTAGGGTAAGGTAAGGGGGGGGGGGCTTGATGGAGTGGAAGGGGGTAGGTGTTTGCTGAGTAAAATATTAAAAACCAGACCAAAAAAAAGCTTGCATTTTTTTTAAGTTGGAAAATAACAAATTTTTAATGTGCTCTAGCGGAGGTGATTTCTAATTGATTTTCAGGTGTGAATAGTGTGTTTTGAAGGAAATTTTGTCAACTTCCATTTTGTACAGGGGTTAGAATTCGCTATAATTTTATAGTTTTCGACTTATAACACGAAAACTGAAAAAAGTGCTAAGAATTTTCAATTCTTTGGGAATATCTTAGAATGATCAAGAAATTATTGTTGGACAACTTCAGATTTGGATTCAGCAACTCAAAAAACATAATTGCTAGACAAAATTCCTTTGAACGCCTTTTTTTGTCCCACAACAGATTGACGGGACTAATAGAATTTGTGTGAAACTTCCAAGATAGTATTGAGCCAACAGAAACTGTAATAGTAATCTGATTTTATCTTAAGTTCCTACATAAATATGATATGTTTCTGTAATTCTAACCACTATTTGTATTTGACATCTTCTGGAGTTTTTATGAAACTCCTAATACATAAGAAATAAACAATAATACTTCACTTAACTTACAAGTGACAGTGACATTTGAAATTAAAATCATAAAACAAACATCTGTCTGACACGTTATCATCTTGAAATGTTATCAAGGTGGAATGGCATAAAACTACAATTCCAACAACAGAGTCAGTAAGTTAATAATTATGAATTGGTTAGTTGCTGCTTCTTATTTGTTCGGTTTTTCAATGTTCGTACTCAATATTGATGGTTAGTTTATGTTTTGAAGACGTGTAAAACTTCATTAGTTTACTTTTTTTAGTTAGGTTAGTACCTACGTTTTTATATTTTTGAGGAAACTTTTCATTTACAATAGTGAGTGGTAAGTTGTCATATAATAAATGACAGTTATATTGTATATAAAAACACAATGGATGATCCTTATATTCACAAGGTAAGTAAAAAATTGTTTTAAAATTAATATGTATGTAAATTTAAAAATACGCCGCCGCAGCAAACCTGCAGACTAAGCAAATTTTGATTTGCCTGATTGGATGACACTAAATTCCGGACTAAGGAGATACCATGCAAACTCTTAGTAAAAAAACTTTATCTTTACTTGCATTGTAAAATGTCATCCATTGTTATATCAACTTTTCAAGTACCTGCATTAACAAGGGGTATCACTTGATGAGAACAACTCTTTGTCAGTGTAACCTCTCTCCATTCTTTGACTGGTAAATATTTTTATTGATCGAGTCTACAGTGATTTTTTAAGGTTTATGTTTGAGGTTTGTTTGAAAGGTATGTTTGAAAAGTTTGTTGCTTTGTAGCTAACAACGTTCTGATTATAGTACAGACACTGGACTATTTATTGCTATGACATAAATAATAATATGTATGTTGATGCCTTGAATGTTGCAAATGCTATTTTTTTATTCTGTTTGATTGTAATGTACCTGCCAATTATTGCAAAAATGCTAATAGTACCTAACTTTGTCATTGTAAATGGATTAAGCCGGAAATAAATTAATAATTTAATATCTGGTTTGTTAAAAGAACCCTATTTGTGTTTTTGAGTGCTGGCTTAAACCTTATTACTGAATATTCATATCAGCATCCAAGGCTAACCTGACATTGACATCAGTTAAACCTATTTATTACTCAGTCTCTCATACAGACTGCTTTCATTGAAGATTAGCTAAAAGTTCTAACAACTGTTTCTAAGTCTTAGATACCATACATAAGTGAAGTGCTTGCTTCAGTTTTATTAATCAACTGTAGTTTGATTTTATTCAATGTAATTTTACATTAAAACAGTGTAAAATGAAGGTAGGTCCCACAAATTCTATGACTATAAATTGTATTTTAAGATTTAAATTGTTAATTTATATCTAAATCTGAGTTTAAAATAACTGTGTTTCATTCTATTTTTTTCATTGCTGTTCACTGCTTCAATTGTATATTATTGTTACTTTTTTCATTGTTTATCAATAATATTGTTAAAATCTGTTAAATTCGGTGATAGTTTGTTATTTCGTTATATTATTATATTCTTATTATTATATTCAGCATATAATAATATAACTTTATAATATAACTAACTCATAGTTTATTCACAGAAAAATAAGGGAAACAAAAGACTGATTGAATAAAACAGCACTGTGAAAATAACTAAAATTCTAATAATTGCTGGAGACAAGCAATTAAACACCCTAAATGGCTTGTCTACCTAAATAGTATGAGTTTTGTGAAATTTTATTTTTGGAAATAAAAAAATTGTAAATCTTTTCACCACACTATGATGTTTTTAGCTGTTTTACATGTTAATTGGTGGCTGAAAGTTACGTTTTGCTGGCCAAGCCAGCTGTCATCGTCATTTGGGGACTGAGCAGATTTTTACATCCCTAGGGCCGCAATATCAGCTGCCCGCTTACTTTCTTAAAACATGAATGCATATTAAATACACAATCAGTATATATTTAAGTATATCCTATACTCTATATTACACAATAGTATGGCCATAGCATTGCAATAGAATTGTTTTATTGTCACCGCTGCCTAGCAACTATTTATTATTATTTTTGCTGATTCCTCAAATTATTTCTTCACACAACACCTTAAAGTTTAGTGTTGACTATCAATGTGCATTATTATTGTGGTGAAAATTGGCATTGACTTTCTACACTTTATATCTAGCATATAATTGGCATTGACTTTATATCTATCTGTGTATGTCAGTTCTCGACTTTGTCTCAAACTTAAAAACTATTTCGGACTGGCACTATTTAATTGTAATCGGGTTTAACCGCGTTATAGCTACATAAATATGCATGAACTTTAATATGATATGATTGATGATTATAAATTTTAAATCTTATGTTAACTTATAAACATTATGTCTCGCAATGAAAAGTTAAGGCCAGCAACTTAAATATATAAACTTAATAAATTTATAACTTTAAGCTTACAATAACACTGTTTTTGACTGTTTGCAGAGTCTTGATAGATTTTAGTTAGAAATAGGAATTAAGTCCCATAAAAGTTATAAGCTTTTTTAAGAACTGGTTATAAGTGCATGACAACAATTTAATAAAATACTAAATTATTGGTTTTTTAAGATCTACAAAATATGGTTTGGAAAAATAGCAAAATTTTATATTTGTAGGGTCAAAAATGAGGAAACCCCATTTTTTGCTCAATGAAATCACCCTTTAACCCCCTTTCCAATAGTCCAATCATGCTGGCTCGTGAACTCATTTGGATAAATAAAGGTTTACACGCTTATACCAAATTTCATTAAAATTGGACATGTATAATATATAGGCTACATATATATTAAATTTGAACGGATGGTGTTTTTGGCCTCTAGGGACATAACAAGGAAAAAGTAAATTATGGTCACGGGTCCAGGTCTTACTATGAGACCTACGGTAATAACTTAATCCCCATTGGAAATTAGCTAAAAGAACTTTTTCAAATTGAGCCATAGACAGAGTGGGCTTTATCCAGTGAAATACAGTTTTCATAATATTATACTAAGAGCCCCTAGGTTTTTAGTCATGCCAAACTGGAAGGGGCCTATGCAAACAG